GGTTTAGCCCTGACTGCAAGTGTTGGTTTTAGCCATAGCATTTATATAGAAATTACTTTTTGTACATAGCAGCTCCATATAGCTACTAATTTTCAAACTACCAATAAAGATACGAGCAAGGCCTCACCTTAATACCAAAAAAAAAATATATATATATATATATATAATATATATATAAAACAAATAGATAGCAATAAGTAATAAATTATAGATGTAAAATACTTATATATTATTATACTTTTTAATTATTAGACTAAAAAACAATAACTAAAATTAGCACAAATTTATTTTGCAAATAAACCTAATTATATGTTATCTGAAAATAATGTAACTTAGACAAAAAAAGATAATGATTATATTTATTAGCATTGTTAAATCACACTACTAGTTCTAAACACTAATATAATAATCACATGATTATTATATATAAGATTTATTGTATCTATAACTAATGCTAACATATATATATTGCAAGACTTTTAATATATTATATATAGCATTAAGCAAACATATACTACATATTAAACAAATTTACTTTTAATTGCAAGTTCATGCATTATGGCTCTTTTTGTAACAAATACTACATTGTTTTGATTTATTTTTACATTATTTTTGAATAGTTTCAGCTTAGATACATATAAGCAAAGGAAATTACAATCATGTATATATATGCAATTTTTTATATTAGAATCAAAAAAGTCAGAAAAGAAAACTGCAAATATGCATATATGTTAAATTAAACAAAAAAATATTTAAATATATACCAGTACTTGCTTTATTAACTTCAAAGTTTATAGTTGTTAAATTTTTATAAGTTTTGTTATCCTCAGATTTTATTTTCTTTTTTTGATCTTTAATGTTTGTAATATTATTGAAAGCTTTTTCTCTTTTTGATTTTTATCCTTTTGAATTGATACCAATTGGGTTACTAATATTTTAAAAAAAATAAGTTGATATATATTGATTATTAACTATAACAGATATATATCAATAGTAAACTACCCTGTTGTGTTATATCAATTAAGATATATACTAATATATATCTATTATAATAGAAAATCAATAAAAAATAATTTAGTATAATATTAATATTTATCAAATATATTTCGTACTATTAACTTTATAACAATAACTATGCTAATACTAATTTTTAACAAATTTTAAAATAATTACAATTTATGTATATAATATTTATTTATTGAATATTATAGCAATAAGCAATAGATAATATATACAATAAGTAATATATTATATACAAAATATTAAAAAAAACTGATACATAACATAAAATAAATATATAAAAAAAACATTAAATTATAAATTGCAATTAAGTGATGCTATACAATTTATTCAACTTATTTTTAAGAAAACTTATTAAAGAAATATTCTGAAGAAGAAATTCAAAATCATAATTATATTGAGAAAAACTTTTATTATATCATTTATTGTCATAAGTTTACCTTCATCTTTACTTTGAAGGGCTTTAGCATTTTCATGCGATAAATCACCATTTTAATATCAATTTAATATGATATATTAGTATTAATATTATATAATGTTAAACCTAAAATAAATTCTAATAACTTACTAAAAATTGTTCAATTTGACATTTTATATATTTCTCTATACATAAAATGTTTTATGACTAGGGGTTTAATAGGATGTTATATACTGAAAAAGTGAACATGCTATTCTTATTTGTCAAAACAGAAACTGCAATATTAGAAAATGCAGTTTACATAATTACTAATATTTAATAAACACCTTTATTGTTTTTTCAAAAAGTACATGATAACAATCACTCACTTGTGAGCTTTTTTTCTACAAACATTATCAGTTGTAGCTGAATTACTTTTCAGAGAAGGCAATTTTTTACATCCAAATATGTGCCAAACTGCAGATTTAATGCTTTAAAAGGCCACACTATAATTATTTTTTATTTTTTGAAGAAGCTATAAAATAATAGTAACTAATTATTTAATATTACAAATATTATATGCTCTAATTAAAAGATACATTATCTAATAATATAGATTATAGTTAATAAATATATTAAAAAAATATAAACGATACTAATGACTATAAGCAATGCATAATTAAAAAAAATATTACCTGAGTCAACTATTTATTATGAAAACAGGTAGTAAATTTATTTGGGCTTATGTTAAACAAGAAATCCAGAAACATTTCATCTATATAAGACTTAAAAGTCTTTTTGATTACAGCCTAATTAGGGTAAATATAACTTGAAAAGAGGTGTTTTACAACACTAGTATATACATCCTATAAAAAATAAAAATTTAGAATATTTTCATTACAATCTTTATAAGTATTGAGTACTTACATCTAGGACCTTCTGTGAAAGCTCATTTTTTATGTTAACTCACTGCTTTTTTAATTAACTTTTAATTTTCTATATATTCTTACTCAACCTCTTTATTAAAAGGTACAGCTATTAATTTTGAATAAAAAGTCTCTTATCAACTTGTTGGCAGTAATTGTTTATATGTCTTCAAATCTAGTATTTTAAAAAAAAATAAAAAATTAAAAAAATATAAAAAATTAAAAAATTAAAAAAAGATAAAAAATTAAAAAAAAGAGTTAATATAGATGTACCTATAAGGTACATTTATAGTATAATTTTTGTACCTATTATTTTGATGCATATCAGAGTTATTAAGTTGCATCTGTATAATGATACTACATACAAAAGTAGTAATATTGATATTGTTTGCTGAGTTTGGAAATCAAATACAAAACGTTCGATCACATTGATCATGTTTTATTAAAAGTCTTTCACTTGAGCTCAAACCGATTTATTCATTAACTTTGCACATACAGGCTAGTTTTACTAGATAACATTTTTTTAAAGCTTCAAACATTCGATCATATTTTAACTTTGCATATACAAGATAGTTTTACTGAATAATGTTTTTTTAAGCTTACTTTAAATGTTCAATCACATTTTATTAAAATTCTTTCACTTGAACACCAAACATATTACTCATTAACTTGGCCTATAAGGCTAGTTTTACTGTACACCCATTTATTAAATCTTTGAACCACTTGTGTGTTTTCTCATACTGTGTTATGCAATTTTGTTGTATCCTGCTGAATAGTATTTAGCCAGATTTTTTTAATTATCATTTTATTTAGTTGTATTCTTTCACTTGTGTTAGAAAGTTTAAGTAACTTCTTTTTATAAGCCATAACCCACAAACTACCTGTTTATCCATCTTTCTTTTGGTATCTAAAATTGGTTTTAAAAAAATCGGATTGTTAGAACTGTGTTCATAAAAATGGAAAATGAAGACAACTTTGAACTCACTGAAGAACACTTTTCAAGTATCGAATTACAGTAAGCTAAGCCTTTTTTTGAATTGCTTTTGGTTCAAAGCTATCTCAAATATATTCTAACTAAACTTAATAATAGTAATGAAGATTTAGCTATTGTAATGGATGAACAAACAGTTGGCAGTTGGGATAAACTTGATTTTGTTGAATTATAGCAAGTCAAGACTTCTTAAGTTACTTTTGGTTCAAAGCAGTTTTAATTATATTTTAATTAAATCCAATAATAGTAATGAGGATTTGGCTATAATAGTTGGTGAACTAGAAGTTGAACAAACAGCTGGCAATTAGAATGAACTTGATTGTAATGAATTATAGTAAGTCAAGTTTTGAATTACTTTGGTTTAAAGCCATTTCAAAACAGTTTTAAGGGTAGAGTATATGATTTTCAAATTATATATAAAACTTTTGGTAAATTTTTATTTAATTAAAAATAAAAACTATTTTTTTACATAAACAGGCTTTAAATATTAATTAAAAATTGTAGAATATGTTTTTCTGATTCTAATAATAGTAAATTCATTAAAATTGGTTAAAAT